CCCGCGCGCTCGGCGGCGCCGGCCCCCGCGTCCGCGCCCCCGAGCCGGCCGCCGGGGCGCCGCGAGCCTGGAGAAGTTGGCGAGGTGAGTCGTGGCAGCCCCAGAATCCCTTCTGGGGACCCGTGTCTCGCTCCCTCCGCCCGGGCCAAGTCCAGGGGAGGCTTTGGGCTGGAGGGACAGACTCCAAGTTCACCCGCGGGCTGCCCAGTTGTATTTTTTTGCCCCGCTAGAGCTGAAGAACCACCTTTGTGGAGTCCCGTTGACAGCGCAGTGCTGATAATCATGTACATTTTTGAAAAGAGAAGTGCCAGGGAGGGTGGTTTATATATTACATTTTTTTTCCAGGCAGAGTAAGACGTTTGTTTGCGTTCTTGCAAACATGCGCCCTTTGTTTACTTTTTCAAAAGCCATCACGATGCAAGAATGCTTTATCTAATTCTCATGTTTCACAGAATTTTTACCAAAAACTTAGATGTGATTGAGTTGGAAAAGTTAGATGTTTACCAAAGACTAGCTGTCTCTCCTTGAACGTTAAATCGCCCTGTGCTTAGAACAGAAGGGGCACTCGACCTAGGTTTATTAAAAAAAAAAAAAAAAAGTTTTCTTCCTGGAAGGAGCGATGCGTGGCACGGGAAAGACAGAGTGACGGTTTCCCTGTCCCTCATTCTGTTTCAGACTCAGGTACGGTCAAAGCGTCTTACAAGGAAAACATCTTAACCTTTGACATGGTGTTTGATACTTTCTTTCTCTGCTCCGAGCTTAAGGCGCCGCAGCTTTTCATCAGAGCGTTTTATCTTTGTCGTTAGGGTTGCTGGACCGCCCTCAGGTTAGGGATTTGCGTTCATTTCCTTTGTCGCGGAGAGCTTTTTAACAGTCCCCTGGCCTTGCCGCGGGTCTGTTTCCTCTGCCCTCGGGAGCTGGTGATGTTTGTAACTGCTCTTGCTGCGTCTGCATGTGCTGGGCTCCTTCATTCCTTGAAAAGAGTTGAATTCTTTTTGGCCCTAATGACTAAATCTGTTTTGGCGCTTTTACTGTAACTAAGAGAAAAGACACGAAACCTCAATAAGTAGCTGTGTCAGCTTTAGGTTCTCTTCTGCCTCATAATAAATGTACAGATGGGTACTGACAAGTTTGAGAGGGAAAAAAAACCCAATTATCTATAGAGTCACTTTTAAGTACTTAGAACAATTTACAAGCTCTTGTGAATATATACATACTTTAAAATCAGGATATTTCTGTTAGGAGCTGGGGTTTCTTATAATGTGTTACCCTAAGGTGCAACTGCAAGTTTACTAGGATTTGTAAGTGGAAGGGACAGCTCGTAAGACAGTGACAACTGACACCATTTGATGTAGCTAACCTTTCGCCAGGCATCCTGCTAACAGCAGTCCACAAAAGTAGTCCTTGTTAACACTTCCTGTACATATATTCACCATGTCATCTGCACCATAGCCCTATGATAGTGGTTCCCAAATGAGCAGCAACAGTGTCACCTGAGGCTTCGTTTGAAATGCAGATTCTCAGGCCCCGCCCCCGCCCCACGGAATCAGAATCTGTGGGGGTGAGGTCAGTAATCTGTGTTCTAGCAAGCCCTCCCATTCTTTCTAACACACAACCAGCGTTTGAGCGCCTGCTCTGTGAAGTATGCACTAATTATTATTCCCATTTCCTAGTTAAGGAAAATAATGCACAAGGTTTAGCCATTTGTCCAGGGTTCATAGATCACTTGTGGTAGATAAGAGTAAACATTCAGGGGGTCTGGGCCCGGTCGACTCTTACCTGCTATGCTGATGTCATAACACTAACTAGTCTTGCCTGCATTTCATAGTTTTTCTGAGATTTTTCTAAAGAAACATCATAGATTTTTACAACGGTCTCATTCTTCAAGGTGTTGGGAACATGGGGCAGCATCTTCTTGTCTCTATCTGAACAAATTGGCTCTGACTAGGAAGAGATCATGAGCAGAATCCAAATGGATGTTTTGGTGAAGGACTATTTCCATGAGCAACAGTACCTCCTGAAGCCATTTTTCTTTTGAACATATCTCTTATATTATGGAAGTCATGGCCAACACCATAGGAATATAGAGCAAAATTGTAAAAACTCGGAAAAGGGCGAACAACAAAAAAGCCACAGGAAGTCTCAAGCTTAGATGCATAAAGATGAAAGTCTAGTGTCCTCTGGAGAAGTTGACATTTTCTGGGACTTAATAATTTTTTTTTTTTACTACCTGGACAGAAATGGCAGCAGAAGATTCTGAGACAATGAGGGAGCGGAAGGGAAGATCTCTGCGTGGACTCCTTTATTGCTCTTCTAATCCTGCTTGGGTTAAATTTTTGTGGTTTAGGAGGAATTTTATTTTAGGGAGGGAAAAGAAAGCCTCGTGTTTTCAGAAATCGGGTGCTTTAATCTCGTTACGTGGCTAGAATCCAGAAGAGATGAAGGGTACGTGATCTCATTTTTCGGGCCTGGGGAGGAGTCTGCAGCAAGCGTGTAGTTGGATGGGATACAGTCCACCACCTGCTGACCATCCGTGGCCCGGACTGCCTTGCCTCCCCCCTGGGTACTGCTGTAAGTGAAGTCTTGCCACGTCAGCGCAGGAAACATAGCCCTCTCCTTCCACATCTTGTTTTCATTTCAGAGAAGTTTCCAGGGACTTGCCTTGCCTAGTTAGCAGACAGACCCTACAATTTTATAACTAGTCATTTGTATGCAATCTGTCCTGTGGTGGCCTCTCGTCTCTATAAATATAAAGCCCAGAGGTAAGGTCTGAGCTTTTAGGTCAGGGGTGGGATCTGGAAACGGACACCACAATCTAAGTGTCCGTTCCAAGTGCACAAGAGAAATGAAATCTTTCTTTTATTTTTGGTTTATTGGTGATTTACACCTGGCTGACTTCCAGAGAGAATTTGAGATGACTTTCAGTAAAAAACATATATAATAAGGCCATTGAAATCATCCTAAAAAAGGAAAAGTCATAAAGGGGAGGAGGAAATAAGCACTGTTTGTCAAAAACTGAGCCACTATTGTTATGAGGATTAAGTATTAAATTTAGCTCTAAGCTTCCTGGCAGCCATGTCAAAAAGGGAACCGTGATAGGCTGCCTTATTTTCACTGAATGATAAGAGGAAAAGTTGATCAAGAGGGAATGATTTGGTTTTCATGGAAATGAATTCTAAAAAGAATCTTACTGGAGAGTAAACTTTAAACGCCTGTCTCTCCAACTTGCTTCTGAAAACTCTTCTTTGAGCCTATGTGTGGAAAGGCAGTTGAATATAACTGCTAATCAGTGCAATGTAGAAAAGAATTTGGCATCTGGAGGCCAGAAAATTGGGTTCTAATCCCAAGCCATTTCACCTTAATTTCCTCATCTGTAAACTGAGCAAATCAATCCAAAAATTTTCCAAGATCTCTTCCAGCTTTGACATTTGATGATCCTGTGATGAGATCATCCAGTTTAGCTGTAAAATCCCAACAATGACTGTTGCTTAGCCCTTTGTGCTGTCTGTTGCAAAATCGGTTTCTCATTTATTGGCTGTAGCCTAGAACTTTTACTGATTACTCAATCCCAACCCTCTCCTGAATTTTATTCTTTTTCTTTTTGCATTGGCCTGGGTATTGCTGTTTTCTCTTAAAATATGGTTTCTAAGGGAGACTTAGGCTACCTCTGAGCTCTGTGGAGGTCCTCTGCCATTTTATTCCACAGTCATTCAGCAAATGTTTATTGCACATATATTCTGGACCAGGCACTCATTGTACAGTGGTGAAAGGAGTTGTTGCCCTCCCAGAATTTGGGAGAGGTGGGGGTGGGGAGACAATAGAGAAACACGTTTACACTTGGCAGCCTACCCAGCTGTTCCAATGAGAGGAAGCGTGTTTACTCGCTCATCAAGAGACACCATTTCCTGCAGTTCCCTTTGGTATCTGAGATAAGTCTTCTCAGAGGGTTCAAGCCTGAATAAAGGTCTCACTTAAGAGGGATGGTATTATATAGCAAAATGCCAACTCTGCAGTGATCCTGTAATTAACTGGTAGCCCTAGAGCACATTAAAGGTCTCCAGAACTTAGGTACCATCTCTGATACTATGTACTCTGAGTCTTGCTTCTGTTCACATTCATTTTTGTTGATGGGTCCATGGTTCTGTCTTTTATTGATCAGCAAGTCATATTGGCTCTATGTCAAAATATATCCCTGGGTGCCTGGGTGGCGCAGTCGGTTAAGCACCTGACTCTTGGTTTCAGCTCAGTTCATGATCTCAGTCTCTTTAGATCAAGCCCCACGTCGGGCTCCCTGCTCAGCAAGGAATCTGCTTGAGATTCTCTGTCACTCTCTTCCTTCTGCTCGTGCTCTCTCTAAAATAAATAAGTAAATCTTTAAAAATAAAACTATGTATATCTCCCCACTTCCATACTTACCACTGTCTCCTAAACACCACCTTTTACACGTGAACCCCCACAGTAGCACAAGATCTGGTTTGCATGCCTCCACCCTAGCGCCCTCTACAGTCCATTTCCCATACAGCTGCTGGAATGATGTGAACTCTGTAGACCACACTGGGTCTTTTGTTGGTGAAAGCCTCCAGTGAGGGACTTCCCATCACAATGAAAAGAAAATTCAGTTTCTTAGTCTGGCCTTCAAGCTTTGATCGCAGCTCCGTTTAGCTCTCTGACCTCGTCTCCTACCACTGTGCTTCAGCTGCGCTAGCCTTCAAGTATGTTGAACTCATTCCTACCTCAGCACTTTTTACTTGTTCCTTGTGCTAGAATGTTCTTTGCTCACATCCTTGCGTGGCTAGTACCCTTACTTCTTTCAGGACTATGCTTTCAGGTTTTCTTCTCAAAAGGGTCCTCCCAGCTGCTCTAGAAAAAAGGACCTTCCCCATCATTCTCTACTCCCTTACCGTGGTTAGTGTTTTTTTGTTTTTTTTTTTAGTAGCACCTGTTATTATATGAACATTGCATTTTATTTGCTCCTCTCCTCCAATGTGTACTTCATGTCTTAATCATCACTGTACCACTGGCACCTAGAACAGAGATGGTCTCATAGTAGGTACCCAATACATATTTGTCAAATCTAATGAATG